GACTCTTATCTCCAATAAACCACCAGAAAACCAGAAGTGGCGCTGTGGCTCAAGTGGTAGAGCACTAGCCTTGAGCTGAAGAGCTGAGGGACAGCACCCAGGCTCAGAGTTCAAGTCCGACGATCAACAACATAAAAAAAAAAAAGAGTTTGGATGTTTGACCCACCCATTTCCCACAGCGTCCTGATTGACAGCCCTCTGGCAGTTTTCTTTTGGGGAGCTACTGTCTCACTGCCAGTTCTTGTGGCTGGTGGAAAGGTACAGGGCCCCACCTGAACAACTGAATACATCCACCCTGGACACAGGGATTGGTGTACAGTAAGCATATAGTCTAAGCCAAGCTAATTAGAACCAATAGTAATTAGCCTTGGAATCTGCTAGAATTATTGGGTAGAACTGCTCTGTTGGTAAATTGCTCTTTTGTTTGTTTGGCCTAACAATGGCTGCTGGTGTATGAGAATGAAATCAACTCTGAATGAGGCATTGTTGAGGGCAGACTGAGGAATGGGGTCTTGTAGCAACTGAATCCAGCCATGCCTGAAGCTAGCTTACTCCAGAACTTTCCAGTTACATAAGCCACTGAATCCCCTGAAGTTTTTTTTTTTTTTTTGGTTGGTCAAGGGCTTGAACTTGGCCTGGGAGCTGTCCCTGAGCTCTTCAGCACTTGAGCCACAGTGCCACTTCCAGCTTTTTCTGTGTATATGGTCCCGAGGAATCGAACCCAGCGCCTCTGCATGCTAGGCAAGCACTCTACCACTAGGCCACATTCCCAGTCCCCCTGAAGCCATTTTTGAGTTGTGTTTCTGTCACCTTTTGACTAAAGAGCTAAAAGAATTCTGGCCATGTGACGGAGTAAAAACAAATTACAATTTATAATCAAATGGTATAATCTATCATCAGTTAGAATTTCTAATAATCGTTTGAGGATTGAAGGCTGTAGCTATTTTTATTACAAAGTAGGATACCCAATAAAAATGACAACCCTATATTATTATTATTACTATTATTAGTACTGGGACTTGAACTTACAGCTTTATGCTCTCACTTGGCTTTTTTATTCAAGGCTGGCATTCTACCACTTGAACTATGCTTCCACTTCCAGTTTTTTGCTGGTTAAATGGATAGAAGAGTTTCTCAGATTTGTCTGCCTGGACTGTCTTCACACCTAGATCCTCAGATCTCAGCCTCCTGGGTAGCTAGGATTACAGGTGTGAGCCACTCCTGCCTGCCCATTTCCCAGACATTACTGATAAATGAAATCACCATTTCGTCACACTAATGCAAGCATATATTTTTTTTCTTCACAGTTGGGAAGAAAAGCAAACTAAAACCTGAGCAAATTAGAACGCATTTTATTCTTATAAAACCTATGTAGTTTAATACTCTGGAAACCTACCATATTTTTTGAAAGAAAATATACTCTTTCAAAACACTATCTAGCAGTTCATATCTAATCACTTTTCTATTTTTAAAAAAATCCTAAAATTCAAAGTAAACAAACAGCACTTGTGACCCCAAATAGAATGCAAAATTTAGTAGGAGACTAAACTAGTATAACAAAATATAAGCAATACTGGACTTTTAGGACAGTAAGTTAAAAATAGGTTGACCTGAGTACTAACATTTTGCAACATTAAATTACCATTTCTCGCCAGCTGCTGGTGCTTCATGCCTATAATCTTGAGATCTGGGGGCCGCAGTTCAAAGCCAGCCTGGGCAGGAAAGTCTGAAAGACTCATCGCCAGTTAACCACCAGAAAACCAGAAGTGGAGCTGTGGTTCAAAGTGGTAGAGCACTAGCCTTGGGAAAAAAGGCTGAGGGACAGTGACCAAGGCCCTGAGTTCAAGCACCATGACTACCCCTCCACCCCCCTCAAAAAGTCCATTTCTAAACTACACCTACAGTTAATAAATTCCTATCTTCTACAGAAGAGTGTATCTCTTTAAGCTAGTTTTCATGATAGTAAAACATCTTAAGGGTTTCAACTGAGTTATAATAAACTGTGCTGAGCCTGTGCATTTCAACTGAGGAACTCCTGAACCCCCCAAAAATCTTAATCAGAAACAGAGCTTGAGATTCTGGCGTCAGAGTCCAGCTCACCAAATCCTTCTATGTCCCATTCAGTACTAAATTCACTTGGTAAATGTCACCTACTTCAGAAAGAAAACAAAGGTGGGGCTGGGGATGTGGCTCAAATGGTAGAGCACCTACCGAGCTAGCATGAGTCCACGAGTTCAAACTCATGGACTAAAAGAATATTTAGCCAGGTTCAAGGCAGAAGCTGAGAGGCAAAAAATAAAAAAATTGAGTCAAACTGCAAGAGGCCTAATGAAATATTTATTTTAATTTCCTCTACTATCATAATCATCCAGTCACTCTGTTCTTTTTTCCATTGGGAAGTGCATGAGGAAGATAAGCAATAATTTTTACTCATGTTTGATAACATGGTAAAGTGGCTGGTGTCTGACTCAATGGGAATATTTTAATCCATCTCCATTCTGTCCTAACTCGGTTGTAGATCTTTATGACACAGATCTTAAGACTTCCTGAAAATCACAGAGCTTCAGAGAAACAAGCAGGAAGGATCAAAGCAGAACTTGCACTTACTGTTGAGAGCATAAAAATAATTTTGAGAGGCAAGCATCTGTGGCTCACACCTGTCACCCTAGCTACTCTGGGGGCTGAGATCTGAGAATCGCAGTTCAAAGCCAGCCCAGGAAGGAAAGTCTGGGAGACGAGCTAGAAGTGGCACTGGGGTTCAAAGTGGTAGAGCACTTGCCTTGTGCAAAAGAGCTCAGGGATAGCACTCAGGCCCTGAGTTCAAGCCCAAAGGCCAAGAGAAAAAAAAAAAAAGAAGAAAAAGTTTTGAATTACCACTAGGTTGAAGGGTATAAAGGAATGGGCTAGGGGAGCACCAATGCCCATGAATTTCTCTAAACAAGGTAGCATGATACTTCCTTCAATCTGAGTCTAGTCATAGGGTCTCATCCACCTGAAATGCAGCAATTCAGATATGCCATGTCCATTCAGGGCGCCCCTCCTTTCCCCCCTACAGCAAGCTGCCTGCCGGTGGCTGGTTTATATACCTGGACATCTTTTCTGGGTTGGGCAGCTGGATAGAATGTCCATGGTCTGGAGAGATATAAACAACTAAGGGGGTGACAGTTGTAGTTTGAGCAAGAGAGGTCAAAGGTGATGATGGCACTTTGTAAATCATCTCTGTGTCTGGATCACAACAGAGGAAAAAAATCTGTGGGAATGTCCAAAGAAGATCAGCATCTCTTTGGCACACATTCCCAGCCTCTAGCATGGGATCTCATCTAAAGATGAGACAGAGGGCCGCTGCTGTTGTTAGACTTGTGCAATGTGTCACCATAGCGCCACCTGCAGGGCCCTGGCAGTAATGTCCAGGTAGTGTTTTTTTTACAATGGCTTTTGGTCTGTCCAGGTAGTCCCTTGGAGACTTTGGTAGTACTGGGACCTGGCTCTCTGGGTACAGGCTCCAGCTACAGCATGGCCATGTGGCAAATAGTTCTCTATTTGTTTTTGTTGGTCATGGTACTTAAACTCAGAGCCTAGACAGGAACTGTCCCTTAACTCTTCTGCTCAAGGCTAGAGCTTTACTACTTTGAGCCACAGCTCCACTTCCAGTTTTCTGGTGGTTCATGGGAGATGAGAGACTCATGGCCTTTCTTGCTAGGCTGACTTGGAACCTCAATCCCTAGATCTCAGCCTCCTAAGTAGCCAGGATTACAGGCATGAGCCACCAGCGCCCAGCTGGCTCATTCTCTTTTTTTAATTTTTAAATTTATTTTTTGGGTCCAGTCGTGGGGCCTGAACTCTGGGCCTGGGCGCCGTCCCTCAGCTCTTCAGCTCAAGGCTAGTGCTCTACAGTGCCACAGCGCCACTTCCGGCTTTTGTCTTTTTGCTTATGTGGTGCTGAGGAATCAAACCCAGGGCCTCATGCATGCAAGGCAAGCGCTCTACCACTGAGCCACCTTCCCAGCCCCTGGCTCACTCTCTCATGTCCAGACTGTGCAGGTATAGGACAGCCAGCAGCTGGGCCAGGGTAGGATCTGCTAGGATCTCTTTCTGAATGGTACCCAAGATGGTACCCATCTTGCCCAACTGCTGGGAACTATGTGCTATGAAGAGTTGGGCCTGAGACCAGAGCTTGTCATAATGGAAGGCGTCCACAAACTTGAGGATGAGAGTATAGCTGGTCAGATCAAGGCTAGGAAGGAAGTACAGGCCTGCTGCTCAGTGTCACCACCCTGATGGTGGCAACCCCGCCAGCAGGGCTGGGGAGTCCTGGGTCTCAGGGGTAGGCAAGATGGTGGTGCATGAGCCTCTTCTGGGCCTGTGGGATGGAGATGGTGGCAGGGTAGGCAGGGCACCAGGCTCCTCCACTTATTCAACTCAGCCCAACATAGAGACATGCCTTCCTTTGTGTACAGTCCATTCAGCACCTTTTCTCTGCCCATAAGACTGTAATGTAAAATTGTGCCCAAGGTCTGGAGGCATGGTTCAGCTATACAGCACCGGCCTAGCAAGTATGAATTCCTGAATTCAAATGTCAGAACTGCTAAACCCAAGTTAAAAAACCCACCAACTGCTCCCAGGCCTGACACATCTGAACTCCTAGGGCATAGAATTTCTCCCTTTCTCACCTGTGCACCCAACAGCTTGGCTCATGTCTGCCAGTGACAGTCAATACTGCATGTATAAAACACATGGCTAAGTAAGTCCTCACTCTAAGATCTTGAACTTTTGTGTAGCTGATTGGACCCAAGAAAAGAACTTTACATTGTTTCCTCACGTATCTTTGTTCATGAAGGAAAGCCAGAAATTTTTCATGAATTTCATTGCTTGTTCTCAATACTTTCCTGGTTCTAAGTCTCTTCCTGTCTGCAGCTCAACTAATGCTTCCTCCTCCTCTTCCTTAAATGTTGGTACTGGGGCTTGAACTCAGGATCAGTTTGCTCCAACCTTTTCACTCAGTGCTGATGGTCTACCACTTGAGCCACACCTCCATTTCTGTCTTTTTTCTCTGGTTAATTGGAGACAAGTATCTCATAGCCAAGACTGGCTCTAAACTGTGATCCTCCTATCTCAGCCATGATCCTCCTATCTCAGCCTCCTGAGTAGCTAGGATTACAGGTAAAGCTTTACAAGGGAGCATCTGTTTTGACAGCTAGCCATTTCCCAGGGCATTCATTTGCCTTTTGATAAACAGGAGGTGTGGGGTGTTCTTACAGGAGGGGTTTTTTGCTCTTGAAAAGCATGCTCCAGGCTCTCTTGCTCAGGGGTCGGTGTCCCCAGACCCTCTGTAGTGGCAAGAGTTCTGTTTTGGGCTTGCAGAAAAGACTGTCTGCTGACTTACTGCTGGAGTCCTTGGGGGAGCCCAAAGGTCCCAATTCCTGCGACGGACGTCAGGATGTTGTTAGACACTTCTACCACTAGAAGGCACTGCCGGACCTCCTTTCCCTCCACGCAGGTGGCAAAGTAGCACAGCTCTGCTCCCACCATAGATGAACCTGCCCAGAGGGGGAATCCACTCTCTTCCCATGACTGGCATCTAGATTGTCAGTGTGAAGAGAGAGGAGGGGGCAGTGATCTGGGCAGAGGAAGATGAGGCCGAATGCAGCCAAAAATCGGTTCCCACCCAGCTTCCTCGGGTGGGGGGTGGAGTCTGGGGGCATCACCTGAGCAAAACTGTGCATAGACTTTTTCAAGGGGCTCCAGACCTCCCCACAGCCCAGGCTGCCCTCTGGGGAGGCCCCTCCTTTGTTTTCTTTTATGGTCATCTTGATTTTCTTCCTTCCCACCGCAAAACTGAAACCTTACCCTTAACACCGCCCCTCAAAAAATACAACAAAACCCCAAATTTCCCAGTGAATGGGTTTCCTTTTGTAGCCACTGGCCACAGAAAGCCGGACATATCTTGTTGGGTGATGACAGGGGGGAATGTGGGGAAGAGAAAGCTGCCATTTATTTATCAGCCCCATCATCCCCCAGGAACTTTGAATCACTTACATGATCTGTATTACCACTTAGCTCACACCTGGCTGGATCTACTCTACCTTCGGCCTATGTAAAAAAAAATCTGTGAAATTGCAAGTTTGCTGTGATTGACAGGCAACTCCCTCCCTAAGGCTGTAGATAATACAATCAGTCTCCCACAGACATACACATTCATATCAAATCCAAATTAACCTTAAACATACAAAAATAGGGACGGAGCTTCAGTGGGAGAACACTTGCCTAGAAAGTGTGAAGTTCTGGGTTCAATCGATTTCAGGATCAGAAAAAAAAAAAAAGTATTTTACCTGACCTATTTTGGGACTTTCCATGGTTGCTACCATTTTCCTGGCAGAGCTTAAGGGCTGGAGAGAATTAGCTCTCATTCAACAAAGGCTCAGAGTTAAGTGACTTTTCCAATGTCACACAGCCTATAAAGTGTCCACGTGAGGGTTTATTTTTGGTAAGTTCCTTTTAAATTGGCTTTCACTACATACTGGGTCATGCCTCGAATCCTAAGTTATTCAGTAATCTGATATCTGAGGATCTTGGTTCAAAGACAACCAGGGGAGGAAAGTCCATACGACCCTTATCTCCACTGAACCACCAGAAAACTGGAAGTGGTGCTGTAGGTCATGTGGTAGAGTGCTAGCCTTGAGCCAAAGAGCTCAGGGACAGTGCCCAGGCCCGGAGTTCAAGCCCCACAACCATGAATAAATAAATAATTGGCTTTCACCTGGAGAAAGGGGCATCTCTTCATATCTAGTAACCCATACAGCCAACTGTCCCTCCTGGCCTGTCCCCAACCCCCCCTTCGCCCCTCAGCCCCTCCTTACCCGGGCCAGGCTGACTCCAGCAGGGACTTTGTACGGCACATACTTCCTGTAGATATGGCCTACTCTGGAGCAGGGAATGTCCTCCATGCGGCCCCCACACATCCACACCTGCAGAGTGAGAAGGGAAGAAAAAAAAAAAGTTGCTGTGTGTGCCTTCATTTCCCCATGCGGGGGGCAGGCCATCACAATTCAGTATTCCCCAGAGAACATCTCAGCAGGGCAGTCAGGGTCCCAGAACTTGTGGCAAGAGAAGACAGTAGTAGCCTCAGGAGAGGGAGAGAGAGGAGAGGTAGAAAGAGGTAGAGAGGGATGAGGGGGGGAGAGGTATAAAGGAGAGAGGGAGAGAGGGAGCAGGGAAGGGGAGAGGGGGGAGAGAAGAGAGAGCGAGAGCTGAGAGCTTCCTGAAGAACAAGGCTCAGAGAAGCTCAGATACTTGTCTGAGGCCTGAGCTAGTAAGAGGGGAGCCCCAACTTTAACGTAGTTTTATTGTGGGACTTGAACTCAAGGCCTGGATGCTGCCCCTTGGTGATTTCATTCAAGGCTAGCATTCTACTATTTGAACCACATCCATCCACTTGCAGCTTCTTGGTGGTCAATTGGAGATAAGAGTCTCATGGACTTAACTGGTTGGCTTTGAACCGAGATGCTCAGATCTCAGCCTCCGGAATAGCTAGGATTTCCAGGTGTGAGCCTAAAATGGTGCCCAGCTTGACATCTGGGAATTATTTTTTATGTGTGCCAGTCCTGGCGCTTGAACTCAGGGCCTGGACACTGTCCCTGAGCTTCTTTTGCTCAAGGCTAACACTTGAGCCACAGAGCCATTTCCAGCTTTTACTATGTACGTGGTACTGAGGAATCAAACGCAGGACTTCCTGCATATTAGCCACATTCCCAGTCCTGGGAATTCTTTATAACCCTGTTTCCATAGTCTCCCTCTTATGGATGAAGGGAAGAACGTTTGTCATAAGAGACGTCCAATATCCCAATTCTGTGCAAAAAGAGCCCTTGCTACTTTGAATGGCTGGATGAAGGTGAGGGGTCAGAGTTCATGATGTAATGGAGGTTCTCATAAGGTCAGTTTCTCATAAGGGCAGTTTTTGCCTTATACTGGAAGCTCCTTGGTTCAGCTGTCTTGACTGTCTAGCTTGGATGTGCTCTGTCCCGGCTTTCCCAAGAGAGACAATACATGAGGTTGCAATTAGTAAAAGTGCTGCTTGGAGAAAAGCAATTATGTTCTGATCTTGGGAGAGGAAAAAAAAAAACCCAAAAAAACTCGAGCAAGTCAATAGAACAGAACATTGCTCTCCAGATAATGGGCTCCTGATGGTAGATTAATGTCAAGGCCAAGCCAAGAAGTTTATTTTCAAAGCAGGAGATATTGATCAGGCGCCAGCATCTCGTAACAATAATTCTTCCCTTTATATAAAGTGATGGATGTGGAATGGATGTCTCTGGTCTGCAGCTCTTTGTCCAGGTTGCACCTGGCTTGCCCTTCTTCTTTTCCAGAGGGGAGAGAAGTTCTCGGAAGATGCAGTGGGGGGTGGGGTGGGGGGAGACATTGCCTTGCTCTATTTTTTGACCGTTTTCTGGGCATCGGACCAGGCCTGGGTCCAACTCTCAAGACTCTACATTTAACTAGGATTAATTTACAAAGCTGCATCTCCAGCTCTGACCAGCAGGGGGAGCCTTTGTGTAGGTGGAAGACCCATTTCCAGGGCTTTCTCTTTGCTGGGACCTCTTCTTCTGGCTCCTGTGGTCCTGACCACAATGGCTATCAGCCTAAGATACCCAAGGGACAAGGTAACTTTGACCTGCTGAGAGGTTGTCCAGAAGAATCCTGGTGTGGGATGCTAGGCTCAGCTCCATGGTCCCTGTGCCTAGAACAGGATGGAGTAGACTTAGAATGTGAGCCGCTTCCAGAGATTAAACCTGAGGCTGGTTCCCAAATCCCCGGGGGACTGTCCAGCACAGGCTACCCAGAATGCATCTCACACAGGCGGCCACTACACCTCCGACTGAGCCACGGCTCCATTTCCAGCTTGTTTTGATGGCTGACCAGAGGATAAGGGTCTCACAGACTTTCCTGCGCAGGCTGGCTTTGAACCACGATCCTCAGATCTTAGCCTCTTGAGAAGCTGGGATTACCGATGTTGAGCCACTGGTGCCCAGTGGGAATGGATTTGGTGGTCCCCATATGCACTAGTTTGGGATGGAGGGTTAAAGGGAGACAGTACTATAGCAGTACCCTCCCTGCCCACCCTGTACTTGGCTATTACTAACTGAAGATCATTTTCTGTCGCTTTCAGTGTGAGAGAGCTTTCTAGTCCCTCCGTGTTCCCTAGATGGAGGGTCAGTGTGGGCAGGGGTCTTGGGTCACACTTGGGTCTACTGACCCCCTGTGCCTGGTGCAGTACCTGGCTTATGCCAGTCTGTCCTGTAGACTTCCAATGGGAGCAGATGGATGAAGCCTGATACTAAGGCTTGGAGCAGGTTTCTGACTGCAGGGAAGGGTGAGTCTTGTCATCTGAAGGAAATGGCTCACATAACTTTTTACCCCTTTCTGGTAATTTTTAGCAAGAATGTAAGTCATGAGCTTCAGGCAGGAGGTTTTAATATTTCTTGGGCAGAAAGTTTCATTTCCATCTTTCAGGATGGATTCTGGTTGGGTTTTTTCTTAGTTCACAAGGGGGACAGACACAGAAGGCCAGAGAGTCTCTCACTATAATTGTCACCTCCATCTTGCAACACATGGCCTGTGCTCCTGGAGACACAGGATGCCAAGACAGGGGGTGGGGGGGGGGAGGTGAGGGGGTTGGGATGGGATGCGGGGAGTCTCTTTTTCCAGGGAGATAAAAGCTAGAGATGTACATGGAGAGGTGTCAAGATAGGGCGTGGGGTGAAGGGGGGCCAGATTTCAAGCACTGTGGCTCTTGTGTGTATTTGTGTGCATACACATCGGCACTATTGGGGCTAGAACTCAGGGCCTGGACACTGTCCCTGAGCTTCTTTTGCTCAAGGCTAGCACTCTACCACTTGAGCTACATCTCCACTCCAGCTTTTTGGTGTTTTCCTGGGGATCAGTCTTACTGACTTTCTTGAACTGCGATCCTCATATCTCAGCCTCCTGGGTACTCAAGCTCAGGACCCATTATATTTGAGATGAGAAAATACAGGTTCCATTTTTTCAGGCCCTCTCCCTGTGCCAGCTTTTGCCATCATCTAGCTCTTCCCTTATGCTTCCTCGGCCCCCTTATCAGACATACAGCCCCCAGCTCTCAAACATGCCCTACCAGCTCAAATCTTGAATCTTGGTCCCCTTCTGTTCTATCAGAGGACACCTCTCTAACAAATGCGTGCCACGAACAAGCAGAGATCGGATTGTAAAAAGCCAGTTTTCTATTCACCTTCAGTGCTGCTGTGATTCATTTTATTAGCAAACTTCTTTTGTGTGATGACAGGTTTCATTATGGTGTCTATAAAAGACAATTACTTGCTCTTATCTCTGAAACCAAGGAGGGAAGACACAGAAGTGATGTGTATCTGGAGAACACAAAAGGGGCTGGAGGGGGGAGGGGCAGACACTGACCTCCCTGCTAGGAAATGGCTGAATTTAACCCTAATTAGCTGTGCTTGGAAAACAATGTGAATTACCAGCAGTAGCTCAGCACCCCTACTGTGCTTAGAAGCGCCAGGCTTGGTGGAGACACACAGGGTTCTGTAATGAGTACTGAGTTCTAATGTAACACTGGTGCTTAAGAAAGTAGTAGTTTTTTTTTTTTGGGGGGGGGGTAGGGGTACCAGTCTTGCACTCTGGGGCCTGGGTGCTGTCATTGAGCTTTTTTTTTGCTCAAGGCTGGCATTCTACCACTTGAGCCACACAGCTCCACTTCTGGCTTTTTGGAAGTTCGCTGGAGATACAAATCTCATGGACTTTCCTACCTGGACTGACTTTGAACTGTGATCCTCAGATCTCAGACTCCTGAAAAGCTAGGATGAGCTACTGGCACCCAGCACTTAAGAAAAAAAAAATTTTTAAATCAATCTAAAAGCCCACTTCCTCACCTGCTAAGTGGGAAAAGCGCACATGCGCACTTGCTACCTCTTTCAGATGAGGTGAAGCTGAACCAAGGTTAAGGCGAAGTGTGGGAGACACTATGGGCTAGCTACATGTAGTCACGGGGAAATGGGGCCCTGCAACACTGCCATCCAGTTCCCCTAGCAAAGAAGCTCCCGCTAGGTTCCGGTGGCTCACGCCTATAATCCTAGCTGCTCAGGAGGCTGAGATCTGAGGATCACAGTTCAAAACTAGTTTGAGCAGGCCAGTCTGTGAGACTCTTACGTGCAATTAACGAGCCAAAAGCCCAAATGGAGCTGTGGCTCAAGGGGTAGAGCACCATTCTTGAGTGAAAAAGCTAATGGACAGTGCCCAGGTTCTGAGTTCAAGTTTCAGGACTGATGCACATGTGCACATACACCAAAGTAGAAAATAACTTTTGTGTGTGTGTGTGTGTGTTGGTCATGGGGCCTTCTCTCCCTCAGTGGTCTCCTACCTTCTCTGCTGCCATGATAGCACAGGAGGAGGCTGCAGAGAAGCAACTTCCTGGGGGGGGGGGGGCTACAGGTGTTAACCTTCCCAGTAATTGAGTATAAGCCACACATGCCCTGGTCACTGGCCTTTGTTTTCAAACTTTATCAGAAGGGATGGATCAGAAACCAGGTGTCAAATGCAGACCCAGTGATACAGAACCTGTTGGGCAACCTGTCAGTTAATCATGTTTCTTCTGTCCTTCACCCAAGCCAGAGTGCCTTCTGTCCAAGAGCACCTACCAGGCTGGTGCGCCACTGCATGGGCTGCACCTTCACTTCTGGCTTTTTGGTAGTTCCTTGGAGATAAAGAGTTTCCCAGACTTTCTTGCCCAGGCTGGCTTTGAATTGTGATCCTCAGATTTCAGCCTCTTGAGTAGCTAGGACTACAGGTGCCTGGTTAGATCACGTTTTCTTCACAGCTTGGGCAAGTGTGAGAATTCCCAGGCAGGCTTGACATACAGATTCCTGGTCCCCACCTTGCTCAGTTCCCAGGGGATGCTAGGGCTATGTGTTACAGAACC